TTCCTAAAACAGTCTCCCGAGCATATGTCAACACAACATGAGCACAATAGCAGAAAAAGAAAAGCATTTCATTGGCACTAGGTAGACATTGCTTTCTGATGCATTCTGTGGATATGGACACCGTATCTACATCATTCTAATGTATGAGCTCTGAGCTTTGCACTTTATTTTTGACATTTGATTAAATGAATTCAAAGAAGTGATGCTGAAAATATTTGTGCATCATCTCCGCACATTTCCTGTCACTTTCTAGAATGTTAGAGCTGTCTCCGATACATTTTCACATTTCAGAAGAAACACTCGTTTTCACTCATTTTCAAGGTCAACAGTAAAGTTCTATTTTAGAAATGAGATCTGGAGTGAAATTCAGAGTAGGGAAGAACAAAATGGCAGAGACCTCATTTCACATTGCTAATTGCCCAAAACTCTGAACAATTCTCATAATTAAGCCCACAGGCAGAGAGCTCTTCCACATTCTAGTCAAAAGTAGCTGTTGGCCAAAGAGGCAAGAAGTAGCTGTGCCAAATTCATACTCCAGCAAAGTTTATAGTTTCCCTAGTCTAAGTACTGAACCCAGGGAAAATGAGTGCACACCCAGCAGGGAATACCAAAGCCAGATGACCTCTAACCTGTGAGGCACTTTGTTGCCAGGCTGTTGGACTTTTCATAGATTGTCACTTCATTTTCTTCACTTTAGCTATTTCCTTGATATACCGAGTGAGATCACTTTCCCACTTCCCATTGGACCTTTCCCACATCCCATTGGATGCTCTTTAGTTGGGATAGGGAAAATGTTCTTTAACCCAAGATCCCCATTCATGCTACAGGGAGGATAAAGGAGCTTCTTTTCTGTTGCAGTTTCTTTGGTTTAGGACATACCACTTTAAAAATATATTGCTGGAATATTTGGACTAGAATATGACACTATATAAAAAGAAAACAACTAATAGTTCTAAAAAATTCTGTAATGTAATATTAAATATGGCATTTTCTCATCTTATGATTAAAAAAAAATACACCTGAAGCATAGAAAATTGCATAAGTTGTCTAAGGTCTATGTCTGATGTGTGAACAGTGGTCCTGAGGCTGAAAGGTTATCTGCCACACATTACTGCTTGTTCTGCATCATTGTTTCTCCAGAACAATTGTTTACCCATCTCCACGCCCTGGGATGCTGATCTTAAACATGACCTCCAAAGGACCCCTGAATTTTGCCTTCCAGTGATATTTAGGGAAGCATGACGGGGTTTGATACTTATCCCAGAGGGCTTCAGTTTGCCTGTCCCAGGCCACAGTTTCACTGGGTAATATTATGAATTCCTTCTTCCTCCTTGTCACACTCAGGGAGAATATAGGTAGGCATTTCTTACTATATCCTCTGTGCTTCGTTACTCTTTGATGGCTGCCCTTAGGCAGTAGGTCATTCGTTAAACCCGTGGTCGCTTTGAGTAAAGTCATGTGTCCTCTGCTGTGATGGTTACTGATAACCCTGTCAGTAAGAGATAGCATCTACAGGGATGCTAACACTTATTTAGAATGGGAGAAATCTAGAGACGACCAGGAAGAAGATCGTAGTGGGGATAAAGGAGATGTTAGAGTAATGACTGAGGAAGTGTGAAGTAAGGCTGGGGAGTTCAGGGCAGTTGAATGATCTAATTAACAATGTATACTTCTTGCTTGCTTCTCTCACACAGTACATGGCCTTAGACATTTTATTATAACAAAGCAAGCATTGATTAGACTGGCAATATTTCAGATTTTAAAATAAATGGAATGGTACAGTAAAGTGTGGTCCCTTTTCTGTCTTTAAAGGTGAACTAAGATGTGTATCTTAACTTATGTTTTCAAGACACAGAAAATACCACACAGTGATTTAAAGATCACTGGTATTCAGCCAAATAATTTAACTTTGGATTCCCTTTTATGTTAAGTATAGATAGAAGATACCTAGGCCCTCCACATACCCCTTCTGAAAAAAAAGGGAAATGAAAAACTTCAAATTAACTGGAGCTGTACTCCCACCTGGTTATAAACCTAGTTAACTGGGTTATGAGGGTAAAAGCAGAACACTCTTGTTTCCTTTAAAAGAGTCCATGAGAACTCATGAATGAAACGTAAGGTTTTAATGCCTGGGGTTTTGAGTCTGTTAAATGAGTTCATAGCATGAACACTTCCATTTTCCTGCCAGAATTTATAGCATGTATAGAATAGGAGAATTTAAGACAATTGGAAAATAATTACTAGATTGCTATCCCAAACTTTTGCAAGTCCTGTTTGGCCAGTGTTACAATGCTTCCTATCAACAAACCTTCCACTGTAGTGCCTTTCTTGACGGGATATGTTGATCTCAACAGTTTTAGCAAGCCTTCACAGTATCTTTACTCGTGAACAAGAAAAAAAGAATACTGCCCAGCTCTTCCTGGATTCTCCCGCTCAGGATTATTTGCTCTCCCTCCTCCCCCATCGCCTGTTTTCCAGTGTACACAATTGCACTAGGCTTTTAGTGCAAAGGCAAAGCAGCACCACAGGGTTAGAGTCTCTGTCGTAGTCCTGTTGCTGTGAAGAGACACGCTGACCTCTTATAAAAGAAAGCATGTAACTGGGGGGTGGCTTACCGTTTAGGAGGCTTCATTCATAATCATCATGATGGGGGGCACCGAGGCAGGTGCGCTGGTAGAGGGAAAGCTGAGAACTTTACATCCTGATCCACGGCATCAGGAGAGAACTGGACCTCGATGAGCTTTTGAAAGCCCACAGCCCACCCCCAGTGACACACTTGCAACAAGGCCACGCCTCCTTATCCTCCTCACATAGTTCCACTCCCTATGTCTAAGCCTTCAATTAGATGAGCCCATACCAGTCAGCATGTATTTGGTTCATACCTGTACAGTATCTTATATAGAACATTTCACCTGTATTACCTCATTTAAAGTTATAACCACTTCCTGAAATAGAAATTCTATTATCTCCATTTCATAATCAAGGTAAGTAGGTCTCACAGAGTGCATGTCACAAAGAAAAAGAGAATTTCTGGATTTGTTCATTTTTACGTAACTGAGTACTCATTTGGACTAGGAAATGCATCGTTTTCTTTATAGGAGATTGAAGAAGAAGGCTAGGCTTTCTTGGCTGTTCAGCATCCTTCGCAGCTGTTTTGTTGGCAGACTTGTACCAAGCTGCTAGCATCAGATCAGGATTCATGAGTATGCAGGACAAGGTGTAGGTGCAGAGAATTTCTCCAAGTTGTCCCTGGCCAAAATACCTTAGAGTTTCATTGGTCCACAGTAAAAGAAACAATACAACCATTCCTGAATTAATCAGCCAGGGAACTGGAGATTGACTGACAGAGAAGCCAAGGCTCATCCTTGCTACTATCAAACTCCAGTTTACAATAAGTAAAGTTAATTAATTAATTAATTTAACTAAAAGGGAAATATTAACTTTTTTTTTAAGTTTTGGTCTTGCCATGACAAAATTTAAAGATCCAACTATCAACTGATGTTCTGGGCAACAAAATTAATAAGCTAGTGGGTTGATTGTTTTTAATCCCCTTTGGTCTGGGACTCAGCTGTTAAAAATCTTGTGGCTCATCTCTTGCTTTCAAAATCTGCACACTGTATGTGACTGTTCACCAACGTGACAGAAACTCTGTTCTTTCCAAAGTGCTACGTGCTCATGACAAGGATTCCAACATCTTCTCTGCCCCAGCACCTTTAGCTGTGAACCACCATGATGACCAGGTATCTGCTGCTGTTTTCTGCAGCCTTCTGTCTGCAGGGAACATCCTCATCATCAACCCTCGCTCTCAATCTCATCAAGCCTTAAGCTACGATGCCCTCACTGATATAAGAGAGAACAATGCACCTCCTCACTTACACCCCCCTGTGCAGGAGATCCCGGGTGTGTCCCAGGGCAAGCAGCAGGGTTTTCATCCCTTTCAAGCCTTTCTCAACCTGCTAAGGTATTGGATGAGAAAAGAAACCCAGTTCCTGAGAGCCCTTCACTCTTTCCTAGTTCCTCCCTAGGCTTCCAACTTCTCTCTCTTTGGGACATTTTTTTTTCTTCAAATTAACTGTTAAGGATTACCTTGTTGTTAGGCATTGTTCAGGAGCATACGAATCACAAGAGGGGACATAACATGGGCTCAAGTTATTGCTCTCTCAACAGATATTTCTTCTAAGAAAACTTTATTTTTTACATTAAAGTAACCATCCAGGTTTATCATGTAAATAGTTGATACATTTTGGAATTTTGTTGGATAATTTAGTTTCAACTTCAGTGACAGATCAAGACTCAATTCACCTGTTTTTCTGAAAGTTATTCATCAGAAATACCAATTGAATTTTCTAAACAACATGTAGACATGTAGCACAAAAAGATTTGTTAAACTAAATGAATTTTAAAACTCTGGTGCCTACAGATATAGCCCATGGCAGCTCAGTCTCCAAGTGGGTTCTCTAGAAAGGGGAACAGGGGCTGTCTCTGACATGAACTCAGTGGCTGGCTCTTTGATCACCTCCCCCTGAGGGGAGTGGGGGCAGACTTACCAGGCCACAGAGGAAGACAGTGCAGCCAGTCCTGGTGAGACTTGATAGGCTAGGGTCAGGTGGAAGAGGAGGGGGACCTCCCCTATCAGTGGACTTAGAGAGGGGCATGGGAGGAGATGAGGGAGAGAGGGAGGGGTTGGAAGGGGAGGAGGGAGGGGGCTACAGCTGGGACACAAAGTGAATACATTGTAATAAATAAATAAATTTTAAGTAAAGAAATAAAATCTCTGGTGCCTAAATGACTTCTTGCTGTAACATTATTCATTCTGGAAATTAATAGCAAAATAAATCTGTTTCTTTCTATCAGTTCACTGCTGTAATTGACCCATGTGAGGCCTAAGGACAAAATCTGGAGGTTATAATTCTTTTGGACACCAGGCTTATCACGGTTAGAATGGCCTAGCTGATTTTGACAAAGTAGCTATCAAAGTAGACTTATTTTACTAAACTGACCTCATTCACTTGCTTTTTGTCCAGATGGAACACTTGACCAGAACTTGTGGAGGCAATTTCTTCATAGACTTTGTATCCAATATGATTCCTGTCATCACAGTCTCCAGTGAGCACAAATACCACCTGAGATTTATAAAAGCAGAGGAGAGTTGGAGAGATTTCCAAAAGTCAAAATATATTTGTTAGCACCTGTTATGTGCTAGCAAATTACTAAGCAACTAGAAAGTAAGCATGCATGATAATTATTAGCCCTTTACTCTGTCTAACCATGGGCCTACACTGGAACATAGTTACTTATATTTTATAATAAGTTTGACTACGGAAATAAGACCATAATTATGCTAGCTTATACAGTGGCCTCAATTTCTCATTGCATCATGCATCTATGCACACTGTAAATAATTTTGAAGATATGTTTATTAAAATATATTATTATAATGTCATCTTTGGATCTGAGTTTAGCCATCTGGCTGAGGCAGAAAAACCATTCTACAAGCTATGTCCTTCAGCTCAAAAGACCTTTTGCAATTCTACTCAATCTCCAGTGTTTCTGCCATGGCCACAAGAAAGGCATCCTAAACTGACCTCATTAATCTTAAAATGAACCTGTTTAAGAAGAGGTCACTACACCCAAGGGCCAGTATCTCAACATTCTTTCACACATGAGCAAGCATTTCTAGCCTAGGTTAACCAAGGTGTGTTAACATGGAAAAAGTAATATGTTATGCTTTAAGCTGCCGAGTTTTGTTACATGGCAATAACTAACTTACAATGCTGAGTAACTAACTCAAGAGAGACTCCCCATAGAAAATGTCATTTGAAATATGGACCTAACAAATACAGTAAGGTGCTAATAAGCACATTAATCTGCCATCGTTTCTTCTTTGTATTCAAAGGCAAAGTATCATTGTGCTGTTGACAAGCATGAATTCACTACACTTAAATTACGTGACATGTACACAGAGGTGTGGTCAGATGGCTATGACTGTTCAGACAAGTATTTCTGAGGATGATGTCTACTTACTTGGGATTGTTTCTGTTGAATAAGCTGCAACACCTCATGGGTGAGCCGATAGTCCTTGGATCGTGCATCAGTAAAAACATAGATGAAGGAACCAGGAAGAGAAATTTCCAAGGCAATTTTTATAGCTCCAATACTCATTTCTGGACAATCACCACCTCCCTGTTGAACAGAAAGCAAGATGAAATCATTTCATGAAAAAAAAATGGTATTTTTGTCCTAAGTGACTTTAGAATTTTAAAAATCAAACAATCGCTCTTTACTAAATGATGAAAAACCTTCCCAAGTCACACAATCATCAAGTGAAGAAGCAGAGACTAACCCCAACTCTGCCTGGTATGAGATCTTTGTTGACTTCTGTGCTACAGACAAGGGGCTTGTCTAAGATGCTGACAAATGAGACGAAGAAAATTCCCACTGTTAAGGGTAAACACAAAATACTGCTCCATCTTAGATTCTCATATTTGTTGAGTTTAATTAAGACTCATCTTTCTTTCACCCAATCCCCTTTCCTTGAAGAAGGCATCAGTGTTCTATTATTGTTTGATTAATGAAAGAATATGTGAATGGGTAATGAGTGAGTAAACAATGAAACAGTATTGTTAAAAGAAATCTTGACACAGTCTAGGTAGACTTGCTGCATCCATCTAACCGTTATTTGAACTCAACCTCTCTCACTTCAAGTGATGTCATTCCAGAGATGAAAGAATCCTCTGAAAGTACAAGGATGAAAGTGCCTCTTTATTCATGAATAGGAAATATAAAGCACGCATGTCCATATATGCACATAGATGGTCATTTCTATATATTTATTATAAGCAATGTATGAAACTTTTTCAGTCTTTGCTCTCGTGCTCACTGTTCCTCTCTCTGTTTCTGTGCCCCCATCTGTGTGTATTTGTGTGTGTGTTGTGTGTGGTGTGTCTTGTCTCTCTTCCCTCCTTCTTTTCCTCTTGGTATGCAGAAGTTTAATATTTAAAAGGAGAAAATAACCATGACCGTGTGTCCTAAACATATCACCTAAAACCGCAGAAGCATGTACCTACACAAATTAAAGATAGAGTAGAGGTGAATTACATAATATGACAACTTGAACAATTCCCAAAGCATGTACTAGGATGGGTCTGGTTTTATGAAATTCTGTGTTTTTCTTTGAACTCTAAAACATAACTAATCCATATCAGTAGGAGCATTCCTGTTCAGTCTTCTGATTCTCGTTTTATCTTTACAATTCTCCAGACAGCTCCAATGTGTTAAGTTGCAGAACAGACTTCAGATGTAAAAATGTATACAGAAAGAATTAGAAGCATGTGACTTTTTCACAGTAAATGTCGCTTCTGGGATAAACTTTGAAAGCACTATGGCCTCGGAGTTACAATGATAATTATGTTCAATAATGAATTCCTGGAAAGCACGATTTTACAATGAATGGAAATCTTATCAGTGGAGGAAGTAATAAAATACAGATTGTCTTGCGATCTTTTCTAAATAAAAGACAGGGTGGGAAGAACACTGAAATAAACTGAACCTTTGAACTCAAAGGACTTAGAGAAAGTTGAGGGCCCTCTCCAAACCCTAAAGGGAAGATGTTATCAAAAGAAGGGTCGAGGAACAAGGCAGGCCAACTGCAGGACAGGCAACATTCACACTGCATTACTTCTCATCAGTCCACTCCATTTCTCCTCCTGTTAATTTTCAACCATCCAGGCCTTCTATCAGTTGTCTTTCAGGACATCTAACTCCCAGTTGTCAAAAACTGACAAATTCCAAAATAACTCGTTTTTAAGACCAGAGTCTTGCAATATGGCTCCAGCTGTCCTTTAATTCATGATCTTCCCACCTGGGTCTCTGGAAGAGTTGGATTTACAGACCCATGTCACCATGCTCAAGTCTAGGAACTCTGTACTGGAATTACATGCTTACTCTTATTCTAACGTGATTGAGTTCTGCTGAATTTGAGCCTGGCCTCAAAGTCAGGGTAGAGTCCCCTGGCACAGAATCCACATGCTGAAAGGTCTTAGTTGTGCAGTTTGCACTTTACATGGAAAGTTGAGCTGTGGAACTCAGTTTCAATTAATCAATATTTGAGGATGCTCGGTTATAAATATTGCCACTGATGCTAGACTAAGAGAATATAATGTACATGTGGAAATGATTATGCTATATTGAATCTACTTTTCAGCTGTGTCAAAAGCAAGGCTAAAATAAATCAGAGCAACTGCAGAGTTCAAAGGCACATATGCTGCCCTTCATCCCTTGTAGGAAATATGGCAAGGATGCTCTCGGAGACAAGAAGAATATTTCAGAATCCAAGCCTCGGAGTTCCCGAATCATTGCAATACATGTCACATACCCGGGAGAGTAAAACGCTACCCTTTGCTACAAATAAGTGATGAAATAAATTTAAGTAAGATGGGTTCCAAATTAAAGCCTCAGTGGTAGACCTTCATGCTGGATTCCTTAGGCAACAACCACCATTTCCATGCTTCCGAGTCATCACCTGTCAGTCAAGAGCATAACTCACCAGTAAATGGTCTTATAGCTTGTTGGAACTTTTACGGTATGTGGGGCTTTGTTTGCCGAGTCCCAGAAGCACTTCAGCTCATTACAGTTCAAACACTCATAAAGAATAGATGATGTTTCTGGCACCCGATACGTTAAACAGGAATTAAGAAAATTATGTACTTTCGTGTTCTCATAATTTGGGAGCTTCTTCAAAAATCACAGGAGTTATAACAGAAAGTAGTCTATTGAGGAAGGCACTGGCATAGAGGTTGCCAACCATAACCTGTGTGCCACCCGACACCATCTAATTCCAGAAGGCACATGGACACACACAAGCTTAACTGCAGGCAAAACATGGAGCTGGGGAGTGATATCTTGGAATTCCCACTTTCATCTTCAGTAACATGCTCCCTCCCAGCTCTCTGCTTCTTATAAAATCCCTTTCTTTCCTCCTCAAGGACCTTGTGCCATTTTAATTGCCATTTTAATTGTGAACATCTTCCCGATCGTACTGAGACAAGAGTTTTCCTCTACATGGAGTAGGTCCTCCATCTTGCATCCAAGAAGACCACATGCGCTCAGAAGAAAACATACAGAAGGCAAGCATGCAGAACTAGTGCTGTCCCAGCAGCCACCATTTATTGCACCAAAGACTGGGCATTCATACTGCCAAAACTTGCTCTGAGCAGCCCAGTTTTCTCCCAGCCCCTGTAGCCTGCTCTTTCCTCTACGCTATTTCTACCTGCCCATCAAAGTCTCTCTTCCTTCTGCTCCAATACTCACATGCAGAGTTTTAATGCTCTGGAGTACACTTGGTGATGTTTCTATTATAGATTAGTCAATGGAGATTGTAACATCGGCTCTTTTTTCTCTAAATTGATAAAATACACATTCATACTAGTTACTTTATGACTTTGTAAAAATGTATTTGTACAATAAGTTTTACTAACAAAGATGTTTATAATTTATGAAGATTCCACATGAGGAAGTTTTATATAGACAGGGTTTATGGTCATTAAGTAACCAATGAGAAATAATCTGCTCAAAAGGGGACCACATATACAACACAGTAGACAAATGAGGCTTATTAAAAATCAACACATACAAAGAAAGATGGAGACTTGGTTGAAAAGTTTATATGCAGAAACCCAAGGGACTTAGCTGATGACTAGACCACTATTCACTAATGGGATGCATCTGCCAAAGAGATCAGATCCAGGGCTCCAGCATCAGCAGAGGGCCTCAGATGTGGCTACATGCAGGTCTCACATGTCACCTTCTGAAAAAGGCCAGGACTCCAGTCCCTAACTAGAGCTGTTGGGGTCTGGATTACTGATAGTGCTCTGGAAAGGAGTCAAACATCTGACAGGGCACTTTCAAAGACAGCATTCAAAGTCAATTTCAATTCTAAAGCACTAAAATTAATCTTCAATTTTTTTCAAGATCCAAGAAATAAAAATAAAGGTCTCTTAGAGAAATAACTGCTTCTGATCTATTTGACTGAAAAGAGACCTCTCAATTTTCCTTTATATCTATTTTATCAAAAAAGAAAAAACACAGTTATTTTACTCTAGTTAGCTGACATTTTTTAAAAGAAGCATTTTGACTTACAACCACTGTCTAAAACCTGACAGAACCAGACCTATAAATTACTGTGGAGAACAGACAATTCCTCAGTGGGTTAAGTGGCATATATGGACTGGATCAATGTGTCCTATGTTAATGGATTGTTTTTCCCAGGAGCCTGAGGTGTTTATTTTGCAATGTATCATGTATAAATCCTTAAAAAGTGTCTCACACAGCGCACTTCCCACTGTAATCTGCACCTCCCCCGCTCTAGCCATTTGTGTATTCTGTTATCTTTGTTCTTTGACGTTAACCCAAAAGATCACTAGCAAATCAGTCATTCATTTACTTATGGATTTGCACCAGAATGAGTAGCTAAAAATGAGTCATACAATCTATTGGTGCTCTCTACTCTCTCAGTCTCTTTCATTTCACCTTTAAGGACACATGGGAGTTTATTCTTCAAGGAACTTTTACTCTTTCAGAAACTCTAACATCAACTCTAAGAAGCAAAGTAGTTGTCAAGATGTTTCATTTTGTCTGCAGAAAAGTTACAAAATACTAAAATTTCCATCATAATCATCACCATTGTCATCATCACACTGTAGAAAATGTGCTTGTAATCACTCTCAAGGAAACTTTGCCTCTCTAATTTAGTAGAAGTATTCTGAGGAGAGGGAGTAATTTTCTAATTATAATTAATTTTGCTATTTTCTGCTTAGTAATTTTAGGTGAGCTAATCACTCAAGAGCAGTTGTGAAACTGAAAGAGAAGTAAAAGTAATTCAGAAATAAATTCATTTTGATAAGGAGAAGGTCAGCCCTAAACCCCATCTGTCTTTAATTATCTACTTTTCTGCTTTGAATTAAAATAAAAGAGAAATTATGTAAATAAATACGTGAATTTGATTCTACTAACAAAGTTACTTAAAGCAAGAGCTGGGAGGAAAGTAGAAGAGCAATAAAGAGCTGGCTTGAGCATTAAAGCCCCCTGTTTAATTTGGTTTTGGTTAATAATTTTTTAAGATCATAATATAATTACACCATTTTTCCTTCCTTTTGCTCCTTCCAAATCTTTCTGTACCTCCCACC